ACCAGGCCAACAGCAGAGGGCAACAGAGGATGGATTTCATTGCATTTCCCTTTATTTCCTTGTATTTCCTTGTATTTCCTTGACTTTCCCATCTCTTCTCTGGAACAGACTGCTCCAGATACCACGTTTTACCTCATCCTAATCCCTTTCCTGTGATTTTGGGAGGAGGTTTTGGTACCCTCAGATACTTTTCAAACTACCGTGCAAACCTCTTGTATAATTACCTAAGTAAGGGTTGTGTATAATATACAAGTAAGGGTTGTGTTATTTCTTTGCCTGCAGCTGAAATCTGCACGTGGAAAACCCTGGATTCTGTTTCCAGCACGTTTCCTGCCTGGTCTTCAGCCCCACAGATCGAAATTCAGTTCTTAGTCACAAGCTTCTTGCTAGACACAGGTAAGTCACTTCACTTGCACTTCTGCAAAGTGGGGATAAAAATAGAGTTTCAGCAGCCTTTGCCTGTATTCCCTATTTAGATGAAAATCTCTTTTAATGTGCTTGTGCTGCACAGCCCTGGGCCTGAGAGCATTCACAGTTATAAAACCACTCAGCTCCATCCATCCCAGAAATCTCCTTTACATCAGGTTACATCCTTCTTGTGAGTCTGAGGACCTGTTAGTGTTATGTTCAGCTAAGAAATTAAGCTTTTCTTGTTTTCAGTATAACACTGCAAACCCCTCATTCATTCCACAAACACTGTGGGCCTTCTTTCCCCCAGGAAAATTTTTATTTTCTGTGCTGTCACACGAGCAGAAATGGCCCTGACAGAAGGGCTGAGCTGGGAGAGCTCTTCTGGCAGCAAAATCGAGAGCTCAAATGAGCACTGGGGAAGCTCTTCATGTCTGAGCACGGCTTGAGCTGCTCTGTGTCCTTGGACCTGCCAGCTCTGCCCCCCTCGTGCCACCCCTGCAGGGAGCAGGTGACAAACACCAATATCAGCTTGGTTGGTCAGGCCCTGTGTGAGGGGACTGGTGTATTCCCAAGGAGGCCAGTCTGGAAACCCCCAAGGGATCCTATTCCCCTTTCCCAGCTCCTCCCAGGGTGGTGAGCAGTGGCTGAATCAGATCAGGTTGCTGGTTTGCCAAAAACCCCCAACCTTTTGAGTCTGTGGGATATGTGGAGAAGAAGCAAATGCCGAGTTGATGAGCCGTGGAGTGCACAGGCAGGGCCAGGGTGTTGTCACCAGTGTCACAGTTGCACCACTGAGACATTTTGAAACTCCCTGGGGTTTTGTTCAGTTTGGGTTTTATGCAAGCACTAAGATATCAGCTCTCCTGTTCAAAACCAGGGCTACCTCAATCCACTGAGTTCTGTTAGCCCAAAGTTCAGTTAGCAAAGCTTTCCACACATTTTTTAAGCACACTTCTCCTGGGTTTATACTTGCACAGTAAAGGCTGGGTCCCACCTGAGAAACGGCTCTGCTTCCCAAGTGGATGAGTAACCAGCTCAGAAGTGATCCTCCAGATATTTTTGGATCTCTTAGGATGGAAGGCTTCAGGAGCTTTCCAGTGACAGTGAGGTAAGGTGTTGCTCACCAGGGCACTCTGGATTTCTAAGCTCCTCTCAACATTTCCATCAGCTCTGGTTTTTCTAATGGCTGAAAGCAGCACCAGCCAGGCTCCAGTGAATGACAAGCAAAGCATTTCGGAGCAACAACTAAACGAACATATATATCAAAGTGCTACTTCAAGCCTGCTGCCCAGGGAATGTGAAGGACAAGCTGTTTTCCTGCCCACGCCCGTGCCAGGGCCGGGCCAGACCTCGGGGAGCTGCTGGAGTTGGTGGGCTGGGAACGTGGCCGGAGCCTGGGTGGCTCCCGTGGGGCTGGCACTGTGTCCTGCACACTGGGATTGCTGAGCCAAAGCAGCTGCACTCCCAGCACCTTGTCAGAGCTGCTCTGAGGACAGGGCAGTTTCCCATCACTGTTCCCCCCTGGACGGGGCTTGGAGCAACCTGGGCTAGTGGAAGGTGTCCCTGCCCATGGCAGGGGGTTGGAATGAGATAATCTTTAGGGTCCCTTTCCAAGCCAAAGCATTCCAGAGTTCTACAACTTTTTTATTTCAGAGCTCTTAAGTAGAAAATGTGTCTGACTGTTTTGCCTGCCAAATCAGGAACATCCCACTGCCACAGAGAGAATTCCTTTGGTCCTGCTAAAGAAAACAGATTAACTGGTCTTGTCCATTATTCAGCTTCTTATGGGCCAGGTCCCAATCCCAGCCCTTGGCTGTGGGTGGGGCTGACATGAACAGGTTTGGAAGAAGGAGAAAGCCCCCCACCTTGTCTCCTCCAGGTTGTCATGTCCGTGTATTTACCCCTGAGTAAAACCTGGTTGCTTTTTTGTGATGGAAACAAAGGTTAAGAAGTCAGTGTGACCACAAGAAGCAAGAGGCAAATCCATACCTTTAATTAAACTCCTGTAAAATCGGAACACGGACAGATCACAGGCACTAGTCTGTGTGCTGCTGTTTGTTCCCTGCCACTGAAATCCAGGGGGAGTGGTAAATGCAGCCAGAACTTGTTCAAACTGAACTGATGCTCTGGAAAGTGCCATTTCCAAATGCTGCTGCTCTCCATTTGATGGGGAAAATGCTGAAGGTGCAATATTCTTCCCTGTTATTGGCTGACTCTGTGTATCCGTTGATTTGCAGCAATAGGAAGTGAAATAGAAAAGGCAGTTTGTGTGGGGGCTGGTGATGCCTCCTGAGCTTTATCTGTGCTGTGGCAGGGGAAGAAAACTGGCACCCCATGACGCGAGAAATGATTGTACAGATCCTGCACACAGCAAAAGTTGCAGGGGTGAACCTCGAAGAAAGGGGAGAAGTTCAGGAGCAGGGATATCAGTAGGGACCTTGCCTGGTGCACCATGGTCATGCCTGGAAGTGTATAAGCCACGTTTTTGTCTGGAAACGGTGATGATTTCTTCTCCAGTAACATCTGAAAGGTTCAGGCAGGGTCCTGGTCCCTTGTGCTTTGCATTGTGTGAAATATCCCTGTCCCAGCTGGGACAGATGGGCTGGGCAAGAATGTTAGAAAGAGGGAGAACTGAAGTGCCCTTCCCAACATCATGGGAAAACCAGGAGCAGATCCCAGAGGTCCAGGTGATTCCCTGTGCAGTAGCCCTGGGAACATGCTGCCTCCCTGGCACTGGGCAGCCTCAGGGAGCAGAGCAGCCCTTGCCATCGTACCTGATTCGGGGCTGATGGATTTGGGATGGTTTGTTCTCAGAGCATGAAGCTGATTTTTGAGGATGCTGGAACAGCTGCTTCTAAACTGCCGAAACTGATTGAAAACCCCACCTGGGGTAATCCCTTCCAGTTAATTTGGCCTTTGTTCCTGCCCTGCCATTCAGGGATGAGCTGGCAGTGATGCTCTTGGCACGGGGGCGCAGTGCCTGGCCAGCTCCATGAGACACCCTGCCAGAGGAGAGCAGGAGGGCCCAACCCGCCATTCTCTCCGGAGCCATTTCGGGCGTGCACAGTACAATGTGGTGTCTGCTGAGCTGGTGGCACTGAGGGATGACAGGCTGGGTTCTGCTCTTCCTGCTGGGACTCAGAAACAGACCTGGAGAGATGATGACTCACCTGTAATTGAGAAAAGCTGCGTGGCATCACCGTGAGCTCCAACAGTTAAATCCTGCTCCCACCTGCCAGAGGGAACAGACTGACAGGCCAGAAGGAGCTGGAAACGGGGCCGAGCTGGAAATGGGGAATGCTTGGCTGTGTCACAGCTGTGTGATTGAGGGGCTGAGCACACCTGGTCACAGGTACCCCCTGTGATGTGGCAGCGATGCTGGTCCCTGCAGGGGGAGATGGAGCTGCAGGGACAGCAGGTGGGAGGAGAGCTGGTGGGGGAGCCAGGAGAAGCCCCCGGCCCCACAGCTCCGCATGCGTACTCCTCCCTGCGACGTTCCTGCAGCTCCCGTCCCAAGCACGGATGATGTCAGAGTTGTCATGGCATCGGTATCTATGGAACCGGGATCATCACCACGGTGCTGGGAAAACTAACTCAGGAGATGGTCCTGGAGCCGAGGGGGGAACTCCCTTCCCAGTAATTGAGGGTTTCCCTCTAAGGCTCTTCTTTTTCCTCCTTCCTGCTGTCCATGGGGAGGGAGCAGGATGGGGGCTTGGCCTCCTGCAGTCCCCTGGCAGATCTGGGGGCCTCCTTTACTGCATGAGGAAAGCAAGAGCTTCTGCCCTGTCCATCTTCACTTCCCTTTTCTCGCACCAGCTGTGGGTGTGGAACAGTGACGAGCGGCTGCCAAACCTTCCCCTCTGCTCTCAGCTGAAGGTCCCTGTGATCAGCCATGGGGCCTCTTGTGCCACAGTACCGTGGTGTCCCCAACCACAGCTCACTGTCCCCAGCCATGGCACTGGTGACCATGGCCATAGAATGGGGCTGTCTGTGGTGCCCATACCCACAGTTCAGTGACAGTGGCTGTCACCCTGTCACAGTGCCCGTACCCACAGCCCGGTGACACTGTCACACTGTCACACTGTCACACTGTCACACTGTCACAGTGCCCATGCCCACAGCCCAGTGACACTGTCACACTGTCATAGCGCCCATATCCACAGCCCAGTGACACTGTCACCCTGTCACCCTGTCCCACTGTCACAGTGCCAGGGTGCCCATACCCACAGCCCAGTGACACTGTCACACTGTCACAGTGCCACAGTGCCCTTGCCCACAGCCCAGTGACACAGTCACCCTGTCCCACTGTCACAGTGCCAGGGTGCCCATACCCACAGCCTGGTGACACTGTCACCCTGTCACCCTGTCACACTGTCACAGTGCCGGTGCCCCCAGCCCGGGCTCGTTGCGGGGGGAGCTGGCCCTGGCCGGCCGCGCGCACCTGCCGGTGCCTCCGCTCCCCCCCCCCTCCCCGGCGGGTGGTTCCTCCCGCCGCCCGCTCGCGGCGCTGCGGACGAGCCCACGCGGGAGGGGCGCGGGGGGGTGGGGGTGGGGGGGGCGGGTGGGCAGGCGCGCGGCCGGCGCGGGGCGCGCGCGCGGGGCTCGGCTCGGAGCGGGCGGCGGGGGAAGATGGAAGGAGCGTCCTTCGGAGCGGGCCGGGCGGGGGGGGCCATCGACCCCGTGGATTTCCTGAAGCAGCCGCAGACCCTGCTCCGGGTGACCACCTGGGTAAGGCGGCACGGCCGGGGCCGGCGGCGGTGCGGGGGCAGCGCCCGGTGCCGCGGGCGGTGCGGGGCGAAGGGGCAGTGCCCGCGCAGGGTGCGGTGCCCGCGGCATCGCCCGGTGCCCGTGCGGGGCCGGTGCGGGGCCGGTGCGGGGCCGGTGCAGGTGCATCGCGCCCGTTCCCGTTACAGCGTGCCCGGTGCGGTGCGGTGCGGCTGCGGCGGGGGGTGCCCGGCCCCGGCGGAGCCGGCAGGGAATTCCCTTGGGAATGGGGCAGGGAGCGGCCGGGGATGTGCCGCTGCCCGTGCCCGGGTCGGTGCTGGAGGATGGGGTGCGGAGCGGGAGGCAGAGGACATTTTCCTGCCTTCCACGCTCCGTGCATGCGTGTGTGTGACAGAAATCCGGGAGCCAGCCCTGCCCAGCTCCCCGTTCTGCTGGAGGGATGTCATGGGCTTTGGCCATTTCCCATCCCTGAATTCCTGCCGCGGAGCAGAGAGCGGGCGGTGGGATGGGCTGTGCGGCCGCTCGGGGAAGGCTTTGGTGGTCCCCGAACAGGCAGCACAGGGAGCTGAGCTCTGGAGCTCTGGGGCCCGGATGCCCAGGGGTGAGAGCAACCCCTAATTTACCTCCCCAGCCTGGCTGTTCTGCTGAGATCTGCAGGTGTGCGTGGCCTTGGGAGGTCGGGAATGCCGGGTCCTTCCCCAGTGTCCCCAGTGCTTGGCTGGAGGCTGTGGATGAGCTTAGCTGGGCCAGGGATGAATCTGGGGCACCCAGCTTGATGTGGATGGGGCATTTTGGGCAGGCTTCAGGCACTTGGCAGCAGTTGTGTCCTAGAGGCATTGCCTCAGTCTAGAAAACTTGGTCTGGATGCACCTGGATCCTCCTGGATCCTCCTTGAGTGCAATGGCAAACTGTTGGCAGTGGTGTTGGTTTGGGGAATGGTTGGATGCATCTGACCCGGTGTTGGTGAGTTGGGCCCGTGCGAAATAAATCTGTCATGTCACATCCAGAGAGCTCCCAGAGATCCTGTCAGGGATTGGACACTGCTGGGAAGGCAGGACCAGGATGTGGAATATGGAGATAAAATAAAGGTCCCAGCTTAGGAAATAATCATCTTGTGTGTATTTGGTGGCTGGCTTATTCAGTGGTAAAGTCCCTCGTCTCATGGCTCTGTGTGCACAGGGAATTGGTGGAAACCAAGTGCTTACAACTGCAGAAACACATCAACTTAACTCGAAACAAGTGCAGGAACCACTGCTATGGCCAAACACGGGATGTGTGCAGTGCTGTGTTTGCAATACTGGGAGTCAGCTCCAAAGCCCAGTGAGCAAAATGGGAGGTTTTGCTCTTTTCAGTGGGCTGGGGATTGGGTTGGGGAAGTTCCCCAGTAAAAGCCCTTTGGAGTCCTTTTCCCAGGTCTCACATTTGCTAGTAGATCTGTCAGGGACCCTGCTCCATTGCTGCTCCACTTTGGGGGGAGCCTCGGTTGGCTTTGGCTTGGCTGTTGCACTCCTGTTAAACCAGTGCCTTAAACCACTTCAGACTTAAAACTCTTTTTCTGTGTGAGCTGGGACTGCAGCTGGGTGGGAGGTGTGAGTGGGGGTTCCCTTCCCACCGGCTGTGCCTTGCAGGGTTGGCAGAACAGAGCGTGCCCGGGCTCCTTCCGAGCGGCTGCTCTTGCTGCTCTTGCCAGACAAAAGCCACGTCCAGGTGGAGATCTTGGCTGGAGGAGGCAGCCAAAGGCTTTGCTGAGGTCTCTACTGCCTCTCTGTTCTGTTCCTTTGTGACTGCTGCCCTGGGCGAGCGTGGCAATGCCGTGGCACCTGGTGACATCCGCGCTGGCAGCCGGGGCAGGGACCAACGCCCGCCGTGCTGCTCCCGGATGCACAGAGCAAACACAGCCCTTCCCAGGCTTCCCTGCCTGCCATCCCCGGGGATCCAGGCTGCCCATGCCCTGGATGGTTATTCAAAAAGCCCTGAGTGAGGCTCAGTTTAGGAGCTGGGGTGGGCTTTCTTCGCGTGGTTTTCCTTCCTGCGCTTTGGTGGTGCATCTCTGTAAACGTGGTTACCCTGGCCAGTCGGAGCTCCCGTTGGAGGCATAACCCTTGCTCTGTGTGTGATGTTCCTTGGGGAAAAGAGGAGGGATCTGCCCAGGATGTGCTGGTTTGAGTGGGGTGGTGATGGAGAACCACCACGAGGATTTGGGACCAGCCTTGTATGCCTGGAGTGAGCGACTGGGTGCCGATGGCCATTGCTGGGGCTTCCCTACGAGCCACCACCAAAGGAGGCTCCAGTTCCTCTTTGTGGCTCCAGCAGCAGCTTCGGGGACGTGGGGTCAGACCCTATGCTGGCAAACATCTGAGGGACTGGCAAGGGAATGGTGACTTCAACATGGAAAGCCCCAAATGTCAGCGATGGCCAAAGGGGATTCCTGGTTCCGCCTCACATCACAGCCTCCCCCTCACGGAGTAATTCTGAGTGTCTGAAGGGGGAAAAAACGCTCCTGGCCTGAGCTGCAAAATCAAAAGCTGGAAAGAACCATTTAACAGTTCCTCATTCATCTCTTCCCCCTCCGTCTGATGCAGTTTGTCAGATGAAGATGTGATCGCTCCTGTGGTTTCCTTTTGAGACATTTTTTGCACAGCAAAACAGACTGGGTATTCACAAAGGATGCCCAGAGAATCATGAGTTCCTTTTGCTGTCACTGCCTGTGCCAGCCAGGCTTTCAAGTGGCCACTCAGCTTTGCAGGAGAGTTGTTCACTTAACGTGCATTTAGGTTTGCATTTTAAAGACAGTTTTGAAAAATATTCTGAGAAATGCTTCCAGTAATTCCCGTGATTTCAGTTAGAGCAGCAGGAAAAGCGCGACGCCTACACAGCTGGAAAACCCTTTCCTGCAACACTGGCAGCGTCCTGTCCTGATCTGCTGCCTCTTGTTTCTGAAAGCTGAATAATTTTGCAGTTCATCACCTGGCTCAGATGACCCCAAGCTGTGTGGTGTGGTTGACATGCTGGAGAGAAGGGATGGAGCGTCCAGAGGGACCGGGCCAGGCTGGAGAGGTGGGACTGTGTGAACCTGCTGAGGTCCAACACAGCCAAGTGCAAGGTCTTTCATGTGGGTTTGGGCAACCCTAAGCCCAAAGAGAGGCTTGTTTGGGATGAGGGATTGGGAGCAGCCCTGAGGAGAAGCCCTTGAGGGTGTTGGTTGGCTCAGTGTGTGTGTGTGTGGCTGTGGGAGGGCTGGTTTGAGGGGCTGGGGGGTGCAGGTGTGGGTTTGCTGGGATACAACACACAGCTCTTGTGAAGGTTTGGGGCTGGGACCTGGGAAGCTCCCTTTTGGGAGCAGACCTTGCCTGCTCCAGATGTCCTACAGATGCAGATGGAAGTGGCTGCCTGGCATAGCTGGGAGAACTCCCCAGGAGACATCAACGAGAAACACAAGGAGTAAGCTCTGGGCAGCTCTTGAGTTTTGCTGACTCTTGAGCACTTGGAGACTCTTGAGCTCCTAGAGAAGAGCTCCAAGGCTGCTCTGGCACTTAAGGAGCCCATGGTGATCCTGAGAGTCGTTACCATGATCTTAACTGCTTCAGACTTCAGTCTTGGCCACTTTTCAGCAGGGTCACCAGGTTTCTGCCTTAGTTCTCTCTTTCCATGGGCAGTAGGTTGAAGGCAGAACTTAAGTTTAACATTTTTGGCGATGGAATTATGGGGAAGTTTCACTGCATCTGAGCTGAAAATGGTTCTAACTTATCATTTTCTGTCATCGCTGGTCTCAGGCCCTGCTGGTGTGCCACGTGCTCAGATTGCAGGGCTAGATTAGGAACTCTGAATGGGCGCTGTGTTCCAGCACCTCTTACCACATCAGAAAAAGTAATTCAGTAAAAATCAGTCATGTGGCCGTCGACGTGCATCCTCCCAAGCTGCTCAGCCTGGTGGCCGTGTCCATAACCTATTAGAGCCAGCATCAGACCACCCCTTTCTGTGCCAGGAACCACCTCAGGTCTTCCCTCTGTGGTCGTAGCCGGGGGAGATCTGGCAGTGCCTAAAGTAGTTCTTTAGTCTTCACACCCTCCCTTAAATTATGCAGATCTGTGCTGGAAACTTCCCTGTGACTGACAACTGCAAAGATAAACCGGGGAGGGACCCGGGCCCTGGTTCCCCCAGAGTCTGAGCTGGGGGAGGCTGGTCCTTTGCCAAGGGTCCAGCTCATCCCTGAGCAGAGGGACGTGTGTGACTCGGCACGGGGGCTCAGCCAGGGCTCAGCGAAACACGCAGGGCTAGGTAGGATTTGGCCTGGGCTAATTTGACCTTAATTGTTTTCCCTTCTCATTTGGTGGCCCATCCTTCACTTGTGAGGCGTGAGGAGGGCCGAGCAGGGTGGCATTTGGCCCGCTGGTGCTCACACTGGAGCAGTGAGGGGTCCCCCAGGGGTTGGTTGTGACTCTCTGGTGTGGTCTGTGCCCAACCCCATCGATCAGGAGCCGCAGCAGAGGAAATGATCCAGGGTTATTTGTCTTCATGCAGTTTGTTTCCTTGATGCTGACTTTAATGGTTGCTTGCCTGTGTAACCATAGCAGGGTTTCGCAGTCTCCTACAACCCCACACCTTCTGGTGATGTTTTTTTATAGGTCCCAAATCAGTACAGCGCATCAGCAGTGGGAACATCTCACCTTAAAATGGCTGACAGTTCACACACCGAAGCTTTCAGCTCCTGCTCTCTTGTGTCATTTGCTTGTTATTTCCCTTGCACTGGCTGTGCTCAGACCACGAGGTCTCCTGGAGCACGTTTTAGGCTGCAGAAGGCTGAAGGCAAGGGGGGTGAAAAAGGTGTGTGTGCTGGGGTCCAGCCAGTTCAAGCCCCAGGAGGGAACAGGGAGCTGCAGAGTATAACTCCAGAGGGGAGTCAGGCAGCCTGACCAGCCACCGGCCTCCAGATGGTAAAGACCTGGTGCAGAGAAGGCAGACAGGTGGCTCCAGCTTTGTCCACACCTAAAAGGGTGTCCCAGTGCCCTGGGCCCTGTGATGGCAGCTCTGGGTCCAGCAGAATCACAGAATCCTGGAATGGTTTGGGTTGGAAGGGACCTTAAAGACCATCCAGTTCCACCCCCTGCCATGGGCAGGGACACCTTCCACCAACCCAGGTTGCTCCAAGCCCTGTCCAACCTGGTCATGGACACTTCCAGGGATCCAGGGGCAGCCACGGCTTCTCTGGGCAACCTGTGCCAGGGCCTGCCCACCCTCCCAGGGGAGAAGACCTGCCCTGTTGTGCCGTGTCCCAGAAATGCTGGCTGGCCTGGAGAGGTCTCCTCTCTTGCTTGGAAGCAAACTTTAACTGGAGGAACTGGGCAGCCTGGCCTTCACTACAGACTGAGGTGCCAATTCTCCCTGGGTTGGTGGAGCACGAGCTTCCTTTGCCTTGCCCGAGTGTCCCCGGGGTCCGAGCGCTTCCCCCACCTTCTGACCAGCCTTGTGCTCCCTGCCAGGCTGGGAGTGAGGCACTGGAGCTCCTCTGAGTGGCTGAAGTGCCCCTCTGAATGGACAGGCTGGGAGAAGGGAGCTCTCCCCTCCCCACCCTGCCTGCAGCAGGAGGCAGAGGAGCACCGACAGTCTGTGCTGCCGGTTGTGTCGGGTTGTTCAGCTGGAAAATGGAGTGTCCTGTGAATGCTCCTTGGCAGATCCTCTGAGATACCTCTCAGGCCCATGAAAATCTCACAGTGCAAAATCTGACCCTGTATTTTTACTTTCAGGTCCCTGGCTGAGGGATTGGGCCACTGTGGTTTGTAGAGGTGATTAGAAAATGGCACTTGATTTGCATGAAGTTTTAAACACACGGGGTTTATTTTCCCCCATCTACCCACATTTTCTTAAAAAAAAAAAAAAAAAAAAGAAGAAATTTTTTCATCTATACTTAGAATGACAACCCCAAATTTATTCTCACTAAAATGTTTTACCAGCACCAGTTGGGTTTTTTTTTTGAGAAAAACTAACATTTCAAACACGGGGCGAGGGAGAGAAAGCCCGTGGAGAGGCGTGTTTTGACAGGAGTATTTCAGCCAGAGCTGATGTTTTGAGCTCATCTGTCAAACATGTGCACTTGCAATTCGTTACTGTTTTGGCCACCCAAGAAGCAGCTGGCACTTCCCATGTTTTGGACACCAGAACGTGGTCCTGGGGGTCTTTTGGGATGAGCCACCAAAAGCTCAGTGGGGAGGTTGTTACTGCTGGGAGAAGGGAGTGAAACCCTTCTCAGAGGAGCTGAGTACAAGTTTGCTGCCCTGCCAGAGCAGTCATCGCGTGGAATCAGAGGCTCTCAATTATTCATGATTTCCAGAATCGCACTATTTCTTCCAGGACCTGTTTTATAAATGCTGTTGCTATTTCTGATGGCAAATAACAATTTTGCATTATTTATGAACGGATTTTTTACAACTGCTGATGTTACAGCTGCTGCCAAAGCGCTGGGAAAAATCATTATTGCTGTTTGTTGTTGTTTCTTCTTTACACGCAGCCCCCTTGTTGTGTGCACGGTGATGGTGGTGATGATGGTGATGATGATGATGAGCTAAACTGGCACTGGTGAGGAAGAACAGGGTGCAGATGCCAATTGGTGACTTAGGTGGCCACCGAGCTTGTGGCTGGTGTTCAGAGCTGAGCTGAGCTGGGGATGGATGAGGGACAGGACCCCAGGCCGTGGTTAAATTCCAAGAGCAGGAAGGTCTGGTTACCTCCCTGGAGGTTGGAAAAGCCCTCCCAGCCCGTGGATCTCCCCTGTGCCCAATGCCCACCCTGTCCCCCAGCCCAGAGCACTGAGTGCCACAGCCAGGCCTGCCTTGGGCACCTCCAGGGCTGGGCACTCCAAACCTCCCTGGGCAGCCCCTGCCAGTGCCTGACAACCCCTTCTGTGAAGAAATTCCTCCTGATACCCAACCTGCACCTCCCCTTGCCCCACAGAGGACTGTGGCCTCTCATCTGAAGAAGCTCTGGCCCAGCTTCACCCCAACACTGGAAGGAGTTTGGAGGGGGTAATTCCAAATGAATTAATTTAATTAATTAAAACCGGGCAGGGATGCAGGCAGGGATGCAGGCAGGATGCAGGCAGGCATACAGGGAGCGGTGCTGGCAGCCAGGGCTGAGATCAGAGGTTCACAGCAGGATGGACAGTGCCTGCAGGCCTGGCTCCCCTCCTGCTCTCAACCTGACATCCAAACCTGGGGCGGCACTTCCAGGCTCTGAGGGAGCGGGATCCAGAGCGGATTGGGATGCAGCGGGTCCCACAGCTTCCCTCCTGCCTTTGGTGCTGGGAGATAAGGGAATTACTTCAGCCTGCAGCGTGGTGAATGGTATTAGTGCAGGCTGCTGCTGCCACCCGCTCCTTCCCTGCCTGAGGGATGAGACACCCCCCGGTCCCAGCCACCAGCAGCCCCCCTGCCCTCCCCTCCCTCTCAGGGCCCAAACCAGGTCACTGGATAACGGGGGCAGCTGCTGCATCCTCCAGCCCCTGCCAAGCCAGGTGCAAAATTGCCCAGTCATTGCCAGGGCAGCCTGTCCCCTGTGCCCAGGTGAGCTGCTCCCCAGCTCCCTGCCTGTGTCCCCTTCCACCAGGCATCCAGTCCTCCCCTGGCTCAGCCCTCAGCAGCTCCGTTACCCTCTGGCACTCGGTTCCTCCCGGCTCCACAGGGACACACAGAGTTTATCAGAACAGCCTGATGGTGGAGAGCAGCATGAGCACAAACACTGTGCAGAGACTGTCCCGTCTGTTTATTTTTACCCTCCCCAGCCCGCCTGGAGAAAACATCCTTGAAATACTCTGCAAAGCAGGGCGCTGAAAGGCAGGCAAGCTCACGGGGGAGGACCACCAGGTACCATCCATCGGCCCTCTGGCTGGAGCCACCAACCAGACGGGAGTCAGGATCCGTCTGGCAAACGCCGTGTTGCCATGGAGTCGAGGCCAGGATTGAATCCAATTATGTTGCTGTTGGAAAAGGGAGGTAAATGTAAACAGCAGCAAGTCGTGTTCCCTCCTTCCTCCCGCAGATCTTCTCCATCGTGGTGTTTGGCTCCATCGTGAACGAGTGCTACGTGAACAAGGACAGCCAGAACCCCGAGCTGCTCTGCATCTTCAACGAGAATGAGAGCGCCTGCAGCTACGGCATCGCCGTCGGCATCATCGCCTTCTTTGGCTGCATCTTCTTCTTCGTGGTGGACCTGTACTTCCAGCAGATCAGCAGCGTCAAGGACCGCAAGAGGGCCGTGCTGCTGGACCTCGGCTTCTCAGGTAGCTCTGCCACATCAATGTCTAGCTCATGAAAAGGTGGTTTCATCAGTTGTGCTGAGTCTGGTTTCACTCTGGGCCTGTGTTTGGAGGGGAGCAGAAGCAGCTTCTGCACCCCATTTGGCCCCCTCGCTGTGGGCAGGGGGGGCTGGGACCCCCAGGGCTGGCATGGATCTTCTGTGCCCTCTGGACCCCCTGGACCTGAGGCTGATCTGTGCAAACAGGAGCAGGCAGGATGCCTGGAGCTGGGATGGAACATCCTCTGCTCGGCTGCTGTGGGAGCTGCCTGGCTCTGCTGGCAGCTGATGTTCCCCATTCCCAGGCTCTCGTGTCAGCCAAGTCTGAAGGTGATTTATCCAGCACGGGCGTCGCTGATGGCTCTCTGTCCCAGATGAGAACATCCATCATCACCTCCCTGTGCTGGCCTGTCACTGAGGGTGTTCTCTCCCTGCTGGAAAGCTCATTTCCATGGTGGTGCAGTGCCAGTGTCCAGCCCTTGTTAGATAATATTTACAGCCCCTTCCATGGGGCTCAGTGCCTGAAACCCTTGGATTCAAGCAGAAGGGGAACATCACATCCATCTTGTGGCTGCTGCTGCATGTGGCAGTGTGGGGCTGCAATCCTCCCTCCCTGCCTTCCACCTCCTCCTGGCAGCCCTTTGCTCCCTGCCAGGGATGTGGGAACTGCCACTGCTCTCCATCTCTGCCTCCTTTCTCCTTGGCCCTTCTTGTGCATCCACTGGCTGGGGGAATGAGAGTATCATGGAAGCCTAGAATGGTTTGGGTTGGAAGGGATCTTAAAGTTCCGCCTCCCTGCCATGGGCAGGGACACCTTCCACCAGCCCAGGGTGCTCCAAGCCCCATCCAACCTGGCCTTGGACACTCCCAGGGATGGGGCAGCCACAGCTTCTCTGGGCAACCTGTGCCAGGGCCTGCCCACCCTCACAGGGAAGAATTTCTTCCTAAAATGCACCTGGGAAATAACTGGGGGGTAGTACTGGGACACAGACAGGGGGTCAGGCTGGGCCACCACACTGCAAACAGCATTTGCAACTTTCTCTTCCAGCTGCTCCTGCAGACATGCGTTTGCTTGGGACCAGGCTCTGATTGGGGTGGTAACACATCTTTCCTGGAGTTTGCACTCTGTTGTCTGCAGATCCTAAAATGATAATTATCTCCTGGCTCCTGTGGCGCTTCCTGGTGTTTTCCATTTCCCCAGCATGCTGGAGGGTGTGGAGCTGCTGCTGGAGCAGCTGGAGCTGGCATTGGCACGTGCAGCCTCGCCACGTCACTGCCAGCTCAGCCCTCTTTGGGGGGGCTTTAAAATCTCTGTCAGTCCTCCAAACTTTGAACCACAGCTGGCTCGTGTTTCTGGAGATGCTCTCCGTGCCCATCTCCTCCTCCATCAGCAATACCTGCCATCCCCTGGCACTGCAGGGAATCCTCCTCCCCTCAGGGCTGAGCTGATGTGGAGGGGAAGGGCTGTGGTCTCTGCATCCCCAAACCCCTGGGAAGTCCACATGGGTGGCAGGAAGAGCAACCCCAGGGACACGGCGCTGGCTGATGGTTTCAGGTTGAGGAGGGTCAGCGTCTCCCTCCCCGCGGTGCTGCAGAGGAATTTGGCAGCTGCAGTACCGGGCACAGCCGGTGCACGGCCGGGGATGGGCATGATGTCATTTTAACTCCTGAAAGCCCCCGGGTGACACCAGTGACAGATGGGCTGTGATGGCACTGGGGAGCCAGACTCACCTCACACCAGCCAGCACCATCTCTGGGCTGTGCATCTCCTTGGGTCCAAATTTAGGGGTTGGATCTGCTTCCCACAGTGGGAAATCTGCTGGTAAAGCCCCTTTGTAACAGAGCTGGGGAGCAGAAAACATCTCTGTCCCTGAGGACCTTTAAGGAATAAACCCCAGAGATCACCGACAACAAGTCATCATCCTAAGGGGAAGTGAAAGTGCAGACAGGGAGATTTGGTGGCTTTGGTGACAGGAGCAGCTGCTTCTGGTGAAATGTCTGCACTTTGGGAAGGGAAAACCTGGCTGATCCTTGCTGTCAGGGCTGATGGGAGTGGGGATGGTGGGGAAGCCCCAGGCCCAGCTGTGCAGAAGGAGACAAAGAATGTGGCTTCTTAAAGTGCAGTTAAAGGCTGTGGGCCCTGGGACTCCAGCACTGGCTGGGGAGGCTCACGTGCATTTTATATCATATTTAAGGACAACTGGCAAGATAAAAGGAAATAAAGGGGAATAAAGGAAGGTTCTTCCTCTCCCTGCAGTCAGACAGACAACAGCCCCAGGGGACTGGCAGTTGGCAGCTCATACTGATGTGCTGATGATCCTTGGGAAGGTGCTGGGTGGGATCAGCACCAGGAATCGGCATCAGATCAGAATCCCCGGCATCCACACGTGCACTGACATCCAAACTGGAGGGTGGGGGGACCTCAGGAAAATTGGAGACCCTTAAAACAGCATCATGGGAGGCTCCAGGTCGTGCAGCTCCTCCTCCCAGCTCTGGAAAGCATCCCTGCTCCTTAGGCTGTGTGCTCTTGGCTTGTTTCTTGACTGTTTGCTGAGCTCCTTGGCAGCTGGCAGAGCTGTTGGTTGGTGATTGAATTAGGGGAGCTGCAGCCATATCTTGCTCAGCCAGCTTTGGTTCCAGTAAGGAATAGTCACCAGAGTATTTTTGCTCAGTTCCACAGACCCAGAGGGATTCTCTGCAGGGAGGAGCAGAACTGTCATAGAATCACAGAATCCTGGAATGGGTTGGGTTGGGAGAGACCTTAAAGCTCATCCAGTTCCACCCCCTGCCATGGGCAGGGACACCTTCCACCAGTCCAGGTTGCTCCAACCTGGCCTTGGACACTTCCAGGGATCCAGGGGCAGCCACAGCTTCTCTGGGCAACCTGTGCCAGGGCCTGCCCGCCCTCCCAGGGGAGGATTCCTCCCAATATCCCATCTGAATGTACCCTTTGCAACAGCAGATGGGGTCCTTGCAGGAGAGGAGGTGACAGCCCTGACCAGCTCTGCTCCCTTGCAGGTTTCCTGGCCTTCCTGTGGTTCGTGGCCTTCTGCTTCCTGGCCAACCAGTGGCAGCGGACGACGCTCACCAGGGGCTTTGCTCAGGGGGCCGACGCCGCTCGGGCAGCCATCACCTTCTCCTTCTTCTCCATCATCGTCTGGGTGAGTGCAGCCTGAGCTGGGCTGGGCAGGCCAGCAACAAAAACCAGCTCCAGGCCCAGTGCTGGGCTGGAGGAGGAATCTGGGGAGGGTTTGGAGAAGTGAATCCTGGTGGGCACCGAGAGGCTGCGCGGAGGGAGCTGCGGGTTCTCCGCGGATGAAACTGGTGGTTTCGTACCCAGGAAGCATCAGCTCAGGCCCCTCTCGCTGGGGGATTCCAGGCTTCCCTTTCTCCTGCGCCTGGGAAGTTGTGTTCCCATGGAAAATGTGTCACCAGCCACGAGCTACCCTGATTGTGGGGCCTCGTTAGAGCCCCAGGACCCACAGGGGCAGGGGAACATCTCCCAGAGCCCCTTTCCCACAGCTGCTGGACCCCACATGTCCTGGGGGCCTGTGCCACTCAGGGGGCTCCTGATCCAGAGGCTGTGTGTGGAGAAGCCAGGTGTCACCTCCACTCCTGCAGTTTTCCCCGGGCAGAGAGCCCCAGGATGTGCCCTAATTCCATATTGCCTTAAGGGAATTGGGGCAAAAGCTGGCCTGAGGTTTTCCAGCATCTGCCTGGCTCCAATTCCTCACCAGTTCAACTGCTCCCTGCTTTATGATTATCCAAATAAATCTCTTTTAATCCCAGCTCCCCACAGCTCTTCTCTATCACTGTATTGCCTGAGTGTAGACCCCAGGGAGGGGGGATGTCCCCCATCCCCTCAGCATCTGCTCCCACCCTGGGGACACCACTCCCATGTTACCATCCCAGAGGATTGTCAGGATGGTTGGGAAGCCATTCTCGGTGTCTACAGGCATTTTTGTTTCCCCTCCTGAGCCTGTCATTTATAAACTAATTGAATTGTTAATGAAACCTCCTGAAATCAGAGCGAGCGCGGGGCACTCGCGGCTCTGCCGCCCACACTGCCCACCCTTGGTGACCTCAATTCTGCCAACCTGGAAGAGGGTGAAGGAGTCTCGGCAGAACTGACCTATTTTCCTGGCCTGGCACTCGTCAGTTTTCCCTCCCCACAGCACAGGGGTTTATTGGTGCCAGCAGAGCCAAATCTGCACAGCCAGGGGGTCTCGAGCCCAGGCCGCAACCCCCACCCCAGACACAGCTTTGGGGTCAACCTGTCACACAGAAAGAGCCTCTGCGGTGTTACAGGGTGGGCTTTGGGGTTGGATTAGCTCATGGTTATAATGGAGTGGGGCAGCAGCTTCCTGGGATGTTGCCACGTGCTCAGTGCTGGGGATGTGGGGTCCTGGGGGGATGTGGGACCTTGGAGGGACATGGGATCCTGGGGGAGATGTGAGATCCTGAGGGGTTATGCAATCCTGGAGGGAAGTGGCGTCCTGGGAATATACAAGGTCCTGGGAGGACAGGAGGTCCTGAGGGGTCATGGGGTCCTGGGAATACACAAGGTCCTGGGGGGTTGTGGGACAGTGGGGTCATGCAGGGTCCTGGGGGTTGTGGGATGCTGGGGCCGTGCAGGGTCCTGGGGGGTTGTGGGACGCTGGGGCCGTGCAGGTTGCCCCCCCTGACCTCCCTCCCTCTCCCCCAGGTGGTGCTGGCAGTGAGGGCCCTGCAGAGGTACCGCCTGGGCACGGACATGTCGCTCTTTGCCACCGACCAGTTCCCCGCCGACCCGAGCGCGCCGTACCCCGGGTACCCCGTGGGCAGCGGCACCGAGAGCACGGAGACCTACCAGAGCCCCCCCTTCACCGAGACCTTAGAGGCCAACCCCAAAGGTTACCAAGTGCCAGCGTACTGAGGGCCCGGGGGCGTCCCCGGGGCCGCATCCCGCGGTGCAGCACCGGATCCGGCCGATCCCAAATGTATTCAGTCCCATTTTCCTTGCCGTGGCCACTCAGTGCTGGGTCCCTTTATTAGCTCGTTGTGCAGTGAATTCTGTACAGTGGTATTGGTTCTTGTCTTACCTGTCCCAGGGTTTCTAAAAGCAGTGTTCCCTCTAAGCCAGAAGGAAGGAAGGTTGTTGCCACATCACCTACACGTGGGGAAGGAAGATGAATAAATGCCCTCTCTAAGCCTTGGTGCCGGGTGCTGGCTCTGCTGGGAAAGCCCAGGACACCTTTTCCTCTTAGAAAACAGTAGCTGAGGGGTTATTTCTCTCGTTCTGAGGAGTTATTTATCTCGTTCTTCCAGAGCTAACACAGAATCCGTCGAGGGTGGGTGGGCGGTGGGGAGGGTTGGGCTCCCGCTGAGGAGCTTTCCAGTCCGTGTTCCATGGAAAGTGCCAAATTCACGAGGAAGTAAGTGGTGTCTGTGTTACTTTTCTTTGTATATATTTACTGTACAAAACAAATATCCAAGCAGGTGTTTAAACTTGGCTTAGAGGCACGGGGAGGGGGTCACAGTGGGCCGGGGTCGGGGTCAATATCCAGATTAATTCTGTGCTTCGATGGGTTCTGGTCAAGGGTATAAAAAGTTACTGTTTGAAACTGGAAACCAGTTCAGCAGTAGCTGGCTGCTAACTGGGAATAGCCTGTGATCAGCAGGATATGGCACGCTGTGGTTCTGTTTCTTCTCCAGGGAGTTGGGAAGGTTGCAAATTCACGAGGGGTTTTTGGCTGGCAGGGCTGCCACGTCCTCCTGCTCTGCCCTGGCTCCAAGGGTGGGGGCTCAGACACAAAGTCCAAGGCCATTAGGAGTGATATTGGACTTGTGTTTTCATACTGGGAGCAGCCACCATCTGTGAGCTGCAGCAGAACCCCAGGTGGGGACATGTGTGTCACCCTGCAGTCTCCAGAAATGAGGAATTCAGGCAGGGAACTGGAAAGGCTTCACAGGCCACTGAAGTCCCTCCCGAGTGGGCTCACGGCCCCGTTTGGAAACGGTGGGGGGAGAGAGTCAGCGAAAAGCAGCCAGGAAAGAGGCTCAGTTTGAGTTTCAGCTGCAAAATTCCTGCCTTGTAAAAACAAAATGTGTAAAATCCAGTGGGTCCTCGTCAGCCACCTGCTGGCTCTCCCTTCCAGCTTTCCCTGCTGACCTTCCCTGCCTGTGCCGTGGCTGATCCAGGCCATGTGTCACTGAGGACTGAGCAGAGGAGCTGAAACTTGAATTCCTGACCCCCTTGGTGGCAGCTCCATCCCTGGAGACCCCCGGCTCTCTCCCAGCTCTCCCGGCATTCCGGGGTCTTGCCTTGCCAGTTCCCTCCGGCAAAGCCGCCGCTGCCTTTGCCCTGTGAGGAGCAGCAGTCACTGCCTGCCCCTCCCCGTGGAGCAGGTCCTGGTCACCACCACCACCACAGCTCATTCCTGCTGCTGAACCGCATCTAAACACACCGATTAATCAGCAGCAAAGCCTCCCGAGCGGTCGCTGCCGGTGGCAAAGCACATTCCCTGCCTCCCTCCATCCAGGCCGGGCTCCACGAGCGTTCCCAGCGAGGGCTGGCTGTGCCAGTGCTGAGCTCCTCACAGGACACCCAAACCCCAGTGTAGCCTAAATGAATTCCAGGATCTTTGTGGTTTTGTGGAGCCAGTCTTGCTGGGAAAGGAAAAAAAAAACAAACCCAAGGATTTGAATGCAGGGTCCGGTAGAACTGTAGCAATATTTTTTCCTTAGAGGGAACACTGAAACTTTAGCAGCACAACCAGTACTTGTGTTAATATTTTAGCAAAAATTATAATCAATTTAAATGTTTAAATTGATTGTACGTGAGATAATGTTCGTTCGGTACAGTGTATTTTTTCTAACTATCAGATAACTGTTCCAGAGTTTTCCTTGTATCCGTGAAGAGCTAAAGCTGTGTCTGCCTGCGGGACATGTCCTGCCCCCTGTACCCCCCCCATGCTGAATATTACACGCTCTGAATGTCCCCCCCGAGGCCTGCATTGCCTTTCTTTGCCCCACACACGCACATCCCACCATGCTCAGTGCCAGGACTGCCCTCGGGAGTCAGGGAATGACACGGGAATGCCGCCGGCACAGCTCCAGCCTCGAGCCTGAGGCGCCGGGTTTCTTCCCGAGGTCAGCAGCTTGTTCCAGCTCCCAAAAATCAGTGTTACCTTCACCTTGCAGGCAGCACTTGGCTGCTCTGCTGGGCAGGAGAGGAGGAGGAGGAAGGGCTTGGGCACCCGAGAGGCTTCCTGGCAGCAGGAAGGCAGGACAGATTGTTCCTTGATTAAACCAGAGTGGGGAATAACGTGTCCAGCCACATCAACAGGCACCTCAGGGGAGGTTAACCCTGATCCCTCTGCACCCAAAATGCCAGTCCCTGTCAGGGAGGGGGGCACGTCCCTGCTGGGGTGGCACTGGGCCAGGCAGCTCGGGTGGGCAGGTCACCCACAGCTGGGGTTTTTATCCAGGGAGTAGTGATGGGTTTATGGAGGATGTGGCCACGCTGAGGCAGGATGGGACAACCCAGAAGTCAGGTGGCCTTGAAAGGAGCATTGACCCACCTGAGCCTGACTCAACCCTGCACCTCGGTGTGTCCATGAGCTCTGGGGCAGAGCAGAGTGTGCAGGTGGGGCTGGAACAAATACAGCTCAAAGGGCTCATGGTTAGAGAACTGGAGCCCTCAGAGCAGGAACTGCTGTACTGGGGGTTCAGGTATTTAGAACATCGATTTCCATCTTCTTTCCCCCCCAGTTTTTTTCTCTCAGCCCATTTGATGTGGTACAGTAGCACTTGCTCCCTCATAACTACCCAGAACACATCCTAAAAACGTGCCAGGACTGTCCTGAGCGTGCCAGGGCTGTCCCAAAACCACGCCAGGGCTGTGCCATCGTCACGAGCTGTTCATGACCCCCTGTTCTCCTCAGAGCTCAGGACCCACCAGCACCTCGAGCTCGCAGAGGGCAGGACTGTGCTGTGCTCAGCTCAGCCCAAAAGCTTCTGTTAGCCCTGAATTTGGGTGTACAGAGTAGAATTCCAGCACTCCCACGCTGAGTTCTGCCTGACCCCCCTGCTCCAGGAGGCTCTGCCAGGACAACGCGGGTGTTTCTCAGCGCTGGGGTAACCACGTCGTGGGGTTTGCAATTTATTGGAAGCATATTAAAAGATTTGAAAGAATTGGGAGGTTTTGTCAACATTTTAAGCTGCTCCTAGCAAGGTGGAAGCTTTGTTATAGTGATATTTAGTAAAAATACAGCCCCCCATTACCTGCTTCTGTGTGTCAGGGGGCTGGAACAGACCCCAAGAGTAGATCCCTCCCACATCAACCAGCTGTGCCTGGACACTGGGGGATGAGTTTCCCATCAGTTCCTGCCACCTCTGGCATTTCTTTTCTGCTGCCCATCAGTTCCTTACAGGGCACTTTGTACCCTGCCCTGCCCATCACCAGCCCCTCAGAATGGCACAGGGCTGCTCGGGGCTCCCACCAACCATGGTCACCCTCTATTCCACAGTAAATCCCATCATTATTCTGTGGAGTGGCCATTTCTCTCAGTAAAAGCTGCTGTACTTATCTGTAGACTCCTCTCAGCCCGTGCTGTCCCCAAGCAGGTGGCTCTGGTCCCGCTCTGGTCCCCCCTTGTCCCATCCCCAGCTGCATTTTGACCCTGTGTGTGTCACAAGAGCCTCTCCCAACCCACCCCCCCCCCGAGGCTCAGAAACAGCCTTCACTGTCTCGACTTGAAACCCGAGTTCAGCTGCCTGGATTTCGTTGCAATACACATTTAAACCTCAGATCCTTCAAGAGTTTTAATCTCCAACAGATCCCAACGGTGGTTTGGGAAGTTCAGTTTCTTTGCAGATACCTCTGTCCGAGCAGACGCTTCCAGGAGTTGCAGTTGTCACTTAACCTCTGTGCAGTGTAGTATAAAGTGGACTGTGTATGGAAATAAGTTTAAAATGTTTACAATTTTGTATATATTATATATATAAAAATATCTTTTGAGAGAACAATCTGTGATTCTGTATTTTCGGTGTCTGTGTAACCAACTGCAACTTATTTTCAATAAAGAGTTAAAAATGAATAGGAAAAAAAAAAATTTGGTAATAACTTTATTTAATCAGGTGAGCACAAGGAACAAGGAAACTGCAAGAGCAGGCCCCAGAGATCCAGAGCCTCGAGGGAACTCCCAGCAGCACCAGCCCAGGGAACCAGGGAGCTGCTGGCAGAGCTGAAAACCAAGGGAAGAGGGAAGATCCTGCTGCAGGGAAGATGCATCTCAGCCCCCTGGACTTTACAAACCCAAGATGGGGAGAGGAGCTGACTGAAATGGGGGGGGAGGGTCAGCTGGCACCCCCCATCCCCCCTGTCCCTGTGGGGTGGCCGAGCCTCGGGCATCGCGTCCCGCTCGGGTCCAGGTCCCACCTGAGGCAGGGACAGGGACACGTCCCGACTCCTCACGTGCTCATGCAGTGTATGAACAGCCATGCAGGCAAATCGTCCTCCCCAGCCCCGGGGAGGGCCGAATACAACACGTTCAGGTGTTCAAAACAGTCTTAAATACCCACAAAAGAAACCCAAAGCACTTTGCAGCCTGAGCAAGCAAAATAACGTGTAAGGCAAGGAAAGAGTGGCTGTAGCAGGACTAGCTCTGAGCTTGATTTCGTGGAAATGATGTCTCTAGAAAAGCTGTGTTTTGTCACTAAAAATTAGGTAAATTAATTTCAGCTTTACCCCTACATGTTAAAAGTAACTAAACCTGGAGATGGGAGGGGATCAGACGCTGAACTACAGCCATGGAAGTGCACGGCAGGGAGGGCTCCTGGCACTCCAGCACCTCTGAGCTGCTGCTGGAGGAGTCACCTCACTGGATGAAGAGATCCCCCCCTTCCTCTGAGGAGGTGGAATTTGGGGATGCCAAAAAAAAAAACATGAGCAAAGCTACATCAGCCTGGTGTCACCGAGGGAGGTGCAGGTGTCAGGCCACTGTAAACAGAGAAATGCACTTAAAGGCACTGCAGAAAACATGGTCAGTGATCAGCAGCATTTAATGTCCCAGGATGCTGTTGGGAGCTCCCACCAGTAATACAACCAAGAAATTAGAAACATGGCAGTCATTAAATAAAATTCCCGTGTGCTTTACGCAGAGTAAAGCCTTAATGCTCTTACTGTACATGCAGGGCTACAAAATCAGTTTCTTGAAAGAACATGTTACAGAAAAGGTCAGAGGCAACTTCAAATCTTGCACAGACCAGCCCATTCTTCTTCAAG